TACGACGGCGATCACGAAGTTAATCCCATTGAAAATAATCTACAAGAAACGATTTCAAATCGCGAAGGTGCGAAAACGAACATGTGATATAACGATATAAGGTCTCAAAAGTGATTCTGATTCTACCGCTCATCAGTCAAGGCCGTCTCAACATAACGAAACAATATCGTCTTCCACAGCGCGAGTTGGCATCGGAACGTAAGAGAAAGTCCTTGCGTGTATCGCTATATCGTTATATCGTCTTCTTCACTCGACGGCTTAAATCAAATATCTGATGCATCGCTTGGAATGTAAGTCGCTGTATCGGTTTGCCGATATAGGCGTTAAATCGATATGTCGCGATATATCGATTTATAGCCCAGTCCTAATCATGATAAAATAAATAGCTTCTGATAAATGTTGCACAGAAAATTGTGAAAATCATGCCTTTTTGTAATTTAAAATGACAATTGACACAGCAAAGAAAAAAATCTCTCTTTAAAAGATAGAAAATTAAGTACTTTTTACAAACCCCAAATAAAAAAAGCAGTTTAAGAACTTTTAAAAAACGTACATCAAAAATAAGCACTTTATAAAAATGCCACACATCCTGAACTCAGAATAATTAATAAATTTCAAAACAAAAGCATAGAAATGAGAAGAAAAAAAAAAAACTTTTTTAATATTGCTAAAGATTATTGTATTTTGTATGTAATTACCTTGTATGTAATTAAACGTAGTTACCTTGCATGTTCTCTTAGTAAAGGGAAAAGCTTATGGCACACATTTAATGTAGCAAAAAAATTAACTTTCACTGTGTTCATAGCTTGCTCAGGGAAAGGAGTTTTATCTGCAAACTGAATAAAAAGAAGATATTTATTAACAATGATAAATTAATTTACATGTTTCAAAACAAAACTAATTTTATAGTACCTCACCTCAACATTAAACTTACTTCTTTAAAAAAAAAATGTCAGATTGAAATACAGTAATTGTTACACACATTTAAAGGTTAAGTTCCAAAGAAATGAGAGAAATTTGATAAATATAATAGATTTAATTTAATTAAGTAGATTAATAAATTTAATAGATATAAATCAGTAGCATAGGCAGGATTTCTTATTGGTGAGGATCTACAGTTTTTTACACATAAAGATGTAGACTAACACAGCAAAATGAAAATATAATTTTTTGGGTCATTTTTATAATATCACAATAAAGTTAGTATTTTCAGAAAAAATTTACAATTTCTTTTGCTAGTAATAACTAAATTCAATAAGTTTAATTTAGTAACTTTTCAAATAAAAAAACAAAAAGTATTTTATATCTTTTGCTTATAGCTGCAAATAGAAGTGGGCCAGAATGTAACAGTCTAAGCACAGTAAACAAATCAAAATTCAAGAAATAGAATAAAAATCAATTATGCGTTAAAACTTAATTACTTTATATGCAATAGCAGCATTATTAACTAATACATCCAGTCCTCCATATTGTTCTTTAATAAAAGAGGCCAGTACTTTAATAGATTCTTCGTCAGTTATATCAAGTAAGTGAAATTTCGGATGCAAGCCTTCTTTTTCCAGTTGTCCCACTGCATCTCTTCCTCGCTTCTCGTCACGAGCTAAAATTGGTACACAATTTTAATATATAAGGTGCTCTCTAACCACTGTTCTCAATACATAAATTTCAAAACAAATTTTTATTAGTCTGAATCTAAATTTAGAAGATCTACAAAGTTTAGATTATTTTAAATTCTATACATTAGGGTGACCCGGGGTAATTCACGATCACTCTGTTTCTGGGGTAAATAATGATCACCTAAGTTTTATTTAAAAATTTTTTTTTTTCTAAATTTGAGACATGGACAAGAATGCTTGTACACTTTACTAAGGTATAACAACATTTACTTAATAATAGTTTCTTGTTTAATCTAACAAAATAAATATCTTTAAACTGCTTTCTGTATTTTCCATTTCAAAGATGGGTTTCAAAAAGTGCACATTTCTGCAAAGATCTCTCTCCTTCTCTTAATAATAAGCATTTTGAGTTACTTTCTTCTTCTTTGATGTGAAAATAGTGTAAGCAATTGTTTAATTGTTTCACATCTACTGTAAACATTATAATTGATTATAGGAAACTATATCAAATGTTGCCCTCTACAGATGGGGTAATTATTGATCACTGGGGTAATTCCTGATCATTGTCATTTCTTTTCATAAATAGTATTAAAATAAGCTAATAAATAGCTAATTGTCTTTTCTTAAGTAACAGTTCATATTTTTCAAGTGGAACGACTATAAAATATATTTTAACTCAATTTAATCACAAAATTTGTTTTTAACCGTATGCTAGACAAATGTGTTCCGATTTGTCTTACCTTGCTTCTATATTAATTTTATGCGTGTACATTGTTAGAATAATTTTTAAGTTTATAAATTAACCTAATATAAATATGGTGAGAAATTATAAGCCTAAAAAGGATACAAAGCTTCTAGAAAGCAAAATTAGTTCTGGTAATTAAAATTTCTTAATTAGTAAATTTCTTTTAATGATCGAAAATGAAAATTTCAGTGTGAGAGCTGCTGCCAGAGCTGTTGACATACCTTACTTAACTTTACACTCACCCTTAATGAAGTTACAAAATCCAGCAAAAGTAACCCATGTGGGAACTCTTTCTTATATTCCAGCAGAACATGAGAATGAGTTGACAACTTGCCTAAAATGTATGGCACGATACAAAGACTTTTGGAAAATTTAAAGCGCTAACCTTTATTTTTGCTTTTTAAATAAATCGTTTTATTAGCTGCTTAAACATATATTTTTGGTTTATTTGTTTGATCTTGATGTCTTATTTGTTAATTATCACTGTATAATTATTTTTAAACAGCCCCATTATGATTAAAACTGGTCATCAGTAATTACCCCAGAAGTGATCAGGAATTACCCCAGAAAGGATCAAGAGAAGGGGTAATTCCCGATCACAAAAAATTTAAAATATTTTAAATTCTAATTGGATTTTCAAACAAAACAAGGTAGCCTAGGACTCATCTAATATAGCCTCTAACTTCCAGTAAATATTATAATTCTATCTTGAATAGTTTTCTTACAAAATAGATGTTTGCATTTTTTGATCAGGAATTACCCCAGGACACCCTATTACAAAATATTCATTTGTGATGCTCATCATGCATGTAATAAAATGTACAAGTTAGTAATGAAATTTTTAATTACAGTTATGTAAGTTATAACAGAATGCAACTGATTATATAGGCTATAAACAATATAACAAGGGTTCTAAGCAGGGGTCTACAAAGGTCTAGAAACTAGTATTCTATGAATTGGAAAGAAGTATAAATGTATTAACTTTTACTAAAATTTAAATTTTTTGGCGTCATAACAACAGGGATTTTTAGACTCCTTATTCTAAGTTTAATAACATGATGAAGATAGTGTTTTTTAAAACAAGCCATTTACACAACTATAATAGCTATTCTTCTGGCAAGTATTTGTATAAATACTCTGCTAAAGACCATTTTAAAATCACAAATTCTAAAATGTGCCTATAAATGCAGTATAAAAATAAATTATTCTTAGTTTTTCAATGATATTAAAAAAAGAAAAAAGAAAGAATTTGTTTTAAAATAGAAAACATTATAAGTCAAAACAATCATTTTAAACAAATTTTCTTGTAAATTGAGCTGGTTTTGTAGTATTTTGCATACCAGCAAAATGACATAAAACAAGCAACAAGATAAATAAGATAATAAACAAGATAAGTAGATGACATAAAGTAATAAGACCAGTTTTAAGCAATTTGTTATGATAAATTGTGATCTTCCTCTAGAATTTAAAATTACAACAGTATTGACTAAGTTTTGATTATCCAAATGTTTTTCATCATTTTATAAACATTTATTTTATGAGGATATAATATTTTAACAATGCATGGAATTGATTTAAGAAAAATAAAGACAAAATACATTTGAGTAATCTTTCATAAAAAATTTTTTTTTCATAAAAGACAATCTTACATAGATTTTCTGAAAAAATATTGTTAAATGAGTTTAGGAGAAATTTTTGGTCAACTAAAAGTAGAAAAAAAATTGTTACAAAATTTTAATTTGGCAAGCCATATTAATTTACTGTCTAAATAGAAAAGGAACATTTTATGTTATATATAACACAAATAACTTTTTATGCCAATTTTTTTTTTAAATATATTAGTTTGAATTCTTAAAATGAGTGGAATCTTAAATTTAGTTTTATAAATTATTACTACAGTCGGACTTCTATTTAACGAACTTCCATTTTACGAATTTCTCTATTTTGCGAATTTTTTCGTGGAACCAAGAACATTTTGGAAATTTCTTCGTTAAATAACTTCTAAATAGCGAAGTGAATTTTTTTTTTTAGATCTACTTTCCCCATTTCCCAAAATATTTGAGAAAATTATTAACTAGTTAACGCATTTTATGGGGGAAATAACCTTGAACTGATTTTCGCATCCCCTTAACTTTTAGAGAAAGCAGTAAAATTCCTTTCCCTTTTTGTTTGCATTTCATACAGGAAATGCAATCAAACTGGAAAAGGGGGAAAAGGGTCAAATTCCTTGAATAGGAAATGAGCAGAGAAGATAAAAGGAATGGGTCATCAAAGTGTGTGGTCCCTGGTCCCTTATTGACATGTCCTATTATCTCCACCCCCACTGTTCACTTCCTTTCCAGAAAAACTTTCAACTTTCTCGTTGTTCACTCCGTAGAGCTCCTGTTTTAAGATTGCTGATCAGAGTGCTGCTTGTTCGGCTGCAAAATGTCGAAGCGAAAGTGCCTGACTATTAAAGAAAAAAATTACAAGAAAAAGGTGCATCAATTGCAATTTTAATTATTTCTAGTATCCATGAATTTAAAACCTATTCTACGTTGTGTAATTATTTTAAAAGATGATTTTCTATTTAACGAATTTTCCATATAACGAACTTTTTTTTCGGGATTTAGCGACTTCGTTAAATAGAGTTCTGACTGTATTTCAATATATGGCTGGGGTAGCCGGGTTGGTAGGGCATTGGACCAATGTGCAAGTGGTCGTGAGTTCTATCCCGATGGTCCGAACACTCTCCATGTAGCAAATGGTGACAGGTACACGATAAATCTGTCGGGTTATAAAGTCTGCCATGTTCCCATAACAAATCATATCTCTGGAAATGGAGATTGAATGTTCTCTGATTTAGGTCAAAATTACGATCTGTGGATGAATAAATGGGTCCGCCTTATAAACGTGTGTGGCTGAAGTCTTATTCTTGGCCATAGATGGCCCCATTAAAAAACAAGAACCTTCAGCCTTAATTTGTTTGGTTTTACCAAGCAGGCTTAGGCAACAACATTTCAATTAATTTTTAACTTCATTTATTTTTAACACATATTAGTAAAAAATGCACATAAGACATGTTATTTCTAACACATATAAAAATTTTTAATATACAAATACGTTCTTAAAATATTTAGAAAAAGCTTTTGGAACTTAAAAAAAAAAGAAAAAGAAAGAAACATAATTTTAAGCAAAATTTTAAGTCCCCCCCCTTCAAAAAAAATTCTGATTATTAGTCTCTAAGGACTTTCTGCACCTCTGGAAAAGCACAGCTTAAATACATTACTTATAGAATGCCAATATTATTTAATGCAGACTTTTTAAAATTCTAGGCATACTTCCATAATGGTACCTGTACTGAGGACATTTCTGTAGGGTTTTTGACCCACCAACTAAGAGAAGAAAACCCCAATAAAACCTGTGCTAATATGGTTTCTTTTTTTAAAAAAAAAAAAAAATATGATCTGCTTTTATATCAATTGTTACTTTTTAT